GGCGGATTTAGACCTGGAAGAGGATGCACGGATCAAATGTTTTCTCTCCGCATGATCACGGAGAAGCTTCTGGCTGCTAACCAGAAGATTTTCTGTGCTTTTGTGGATCTTGAGAAAGCATTTGATAAGGTTGTAAGGAAGAAAATGTGGGAACTGTTGCCGGGGTATGGTGTGGATGGTAGATTGCTAAGGGCTGTGCAGTCACTTTACTGTGACTGTAAAGCCTGTGTGCGGGTAGGGCATGACCTGTCACCCATGTTTAGCGTCCAAACGGGTGTAAAACAGGGTTGTGTCATGTCTTCCTGGCTGTTCATACTGTATCTCGACAGCTGTTTACAGAAGCTGAAAGCCGTTTGGGTGTGAAATTGGGTGACATTAAAATAAATTGTCTGCTGTATGCTGATGATGCAGTGCTTATTGCACCATCAGAGGCAGAACTGCAGGCATTAGTCACGTGTATGAAAGAGGAATGTGAAATTAAAGGTCTCCGTTTGAATGCTATTAAAACTAAGGTTCTGGTATTTGAAAGGGACGAAGAGAGAACGAAGTGTGAAATATGGGTAAATCAGGAATGTCTAGAACAGGTAAATGAAATTGTATACTTGGGGAGTGCTTTTAGCCGGGATGGAAGATGTGATTTAGATGTGGACAGGCGTGACGCTGCCGGGAACAAAGTCAATGGTGCCCTGACTGCGTTAGTCAAAAGGCAAGGCGTAGTGAAGAGTGCACGCCTTGCAATACATAACGCAGTGTTGGTACCGACTTTGTTATATGGCAGCGAAACCTGGGTATGCCAGAAGAAGCATAAAAGTAAGTTGAATGCAGTGGAGATGCGATCTCTTCGTAAAATGTGCGGCGTTACCATGGCCGACCGAAAGCGAAACGAAGAGATTCGCAATATGGCAGGTTTGAAAGATGACCTTATCACAAAAATTGATAAGGACGTGTTTCGATGGTTTGGGCACGTTGAGCGAATGAGTGAAGACCGAATGGTGAAGAAAATATATAGCGCGAAAGTAAATATTAAAAGGTGTCGAGGTAGACCGAGACTAACTTTCGAAGACCATGTGAGCAAATTGCTCGAAGAGGGTAGGGTCAAGAGTACTCGGATACCTAGACGTGCATGTATGAAGAAGATAATGAATCTGAAAGAAGCGAAAGAGGTATGTAAGGATCGTGACACTTGGCGATCTGTTCTCTCTGGCTACCCCGTCAGGGATTGTGCGTGAAGATAAGTAAGTAAGTAAAGTAAGTAGGAAATCATCATACGAAACACAGCAGCATTAAGCTGTTCGTTTTACACTGGTATTCTGTGAGAGCGTGATCCTTCCCCGGTCGAGCCGACCCATTCGTGCTACAACCATAATATAGCTGCAGCGTGGCTCTACCAAACAAAATTGGCTCTCTGTATCCTTCAGATCGGAACACGGTAGCATTTTTTTTATAGAATTAGGGTGACAAACGAGCACACAGTCCACCTGATGGTAAGTGGTTGCTGTGGCCCATAGACATTTACATCTATCTTCGTTTGCGAATTAAAATGCAGATGCGTTGTCACCCATAAGGACTAAGATAGAGGACACTCTAACCCTTCTTACTGGAAAAGAGACACTTTTCCAGTAAGAAGGGTCTCCGGTTTTCTACACTCACCATACGAAACACAGTAGCAATAAGTTGCTATTTTACGCTGGTATTCTGTGAGAGCGTGGTCCTTCCTCGGTCGATGCGACCCATTCGTGCTACAACTATACTATTTATATAGCTGCAGCATGGCTCTACCACGTAAAAAATGCATGCATGCTACTATTTAGTTTTAGCAGGTAAATAGATAAAAGTGTGATAGCTTCGAGTACCAAGACAAAATACGCGCCTCGCCATCGTGAATTTTCCAATTACGTTAATATTCTCTTGAACGATGTGAATTTCGTTAACCAATTTGAAAAACGGCCAATTGCGAGTTTGGCCACGGTCTATCAGAGTTCCGTACATATTATGAGCAATAATTTATAACTTTCTTATAATTAGATAAACTAAATTATGAATACGTAGATGTCGGGAATATAAAATAAGTTAATTAAACGCGATAAAATCCGTAAAAATAGTTTTATTCAATGTGTAGTGTTCGCGTAAATATAAGAAATCATTATGTAAACCAGTAAGGACTGGAAATAGCAAATAAAATACGCCGACTATAAGATCTCAAAACCAAGCGCGCAAGATACATAACAGCTTTAAACTTCTTGAAGAGATGCAGAGACCATAATCTCATTCCTACGTGTGTCAAGATATCTACTAAAAAAGACATTCGAGGAAGCGCTAAGATCTTAAATCAGGCAAGCAAAAAATTGTTAATAACGGTGATTCAGCAAAAACGTACCGATCTATGTTTCATTAATAAAACCATAGACAAATCGTCCAGTGATCTAAAGACAGTTTTATCGACATTTGATTATAAGAATTGCATGGAAACTTTAGACAAACGTGAAACAACTAAATACAATGAATGCAAAAATAAACATATAGATAATTACCAAAAACTAACAACCAGATCAAATGTCCAACGGCAATGTCAACGTAATAACGGAACGCAATCATTGACAACAGACGCGAGTAATAAACAACGTGCGGTCTATAAGTATAACCTGTCAAAACAATCTCTGGACGACGTGACTATAAAAGTTTTGGCCAAAGGTATGAATTTCGCTATAACACCGCAAAAAATTCCGTATGAAAACATTATCTGTAGTGTTGAGGACTGTCTGTATAAAAATAATATTGGTAATGAAGATTTAGAGGCTATACGTCAAGACATTTCGTCCTTGTTACGTCGAAGCTCAGCGCCGAAATTAAATCTTCCCAAAGATGAATTTACTGCATTGAAAAACTTACGCAACAGACCAGATCTTACGATTCTCCGCGCAGATAAAGGTAATGCTACGGTTATAATGGATACGTCGGATTACAATTTTAAAATACAACAACTTTTATCGGATGAAAGTACGTACGTAAAGGTCAAAACAGACCCTACAACTAATACGCTTAAAACAACTAGCGATCTAATAAAGAAATACTCCGAGAAACTGAATCTAGACGTAAATTCGATAATACCTACGTGTGCCAAACCGCCGAAGTTGTATGGGTTACCAAAAATACACAAACCGAACGCTCCATTACGTCCAATAGTGAGTCAGATCGATTCGCCAACTTACAGATTGGCTCAACACTTAGCAAAAGTACTATCACCACTCAGAGGACATACAAGAGTACACACTAAGGATTCATACCATTTTGTCAGTGAGATAAAAGACCTATGTCTTACTGACAATGAAGCTATGGTCAGTTTTGATGTTCAGTCTCTATTTACATGCCTACCTGTTGAAGACTGCATCTCAATTATAACTAGGAAACTAGAGGAAAACAACATGCCAGCAGAATATGCAGTATTACTCAGACATTGCCTTACATCTGGCTACCTATTGTGGAAGGAACAGTTTTACAAGCAAGTAGATGGTGTTGCGATGGGCTCACCGGTATCTCCCATTGTCGCCGATATTTTCATGGAGGACTTTGAGGAGAAAGTCCTGCTTATTACACCAGTAACTCCAAGTTTCTACAAGCGGTACGTAGACGATACTTTCACAATTTTACCATCAGACAAAGTAACTGCATTTTTAGAACATCTTAATTCCATAAACTCTAAAATTCAATTTACTATGGAGTTAGAGGCAAATAATTCTTTAGCTTTCCTAGATGTGTTAGTCATTCGAAATCCTAATAACACTGTAGGTCACACTGTGTATAGAAAAAAGACCCATACAAACCGATACTTAAACGGTGAATCCCACCATCACCCTTCACAGTTAGCTACCGTGGGCAAATCTTTGTTGCAGAAAGCACGAGGGATCTGTGACAGCAAACACCTGGCCGCCGAGCTTCAGCACGTCAAGCAGGTTCTGCACGACAACAAGCTTCGGGTTCCGCGCCTACGTCACAGTGACCGAGTGAAGCCGGCCACAGTCGAGCGTGTGCCTGCTGTACTACCATATGTCAGAGGTGTCACAGACAAGATTGGCTACATCTTGAAGCGAGCTTCTATTAGAACATTCTTCAAGCCGCCGAAGAAGATTAGTCAGTTCTTACCATCCGTCAAGTGCAATATTCCTTTACAAGATGCAGGAGTATACAAGCTTGATTGTGAGTGTGGTCTCTCATATATAGGGCAAACAAAACGATCAATAAAAACCCGCGTAAAAGAACACATAGCTGACGTGAAGCACCAACGTTCCGGGAAGTCTGCAGTTTGTGATCATATCCTAGACGGCCCCCCGTCATTACATTAGATTTGATAAACCACAAGTCCTCGCGAAAGAACATCGATTCCTGCCAAGGATGATACGTGAGGCTATTGAAATTAAAAAACATCCTAATTTCAATAGAGAGGGAGGCTGGGTACTACCACCTGCTTGGGATCCTGTAATTCATAAAATTAAAACTAAACCCAAGCATACCACTGTAAGACTTCAAGACACAGTTAGTTCATTCTGCGTAGATCGGACCTGTTCAGTTTACACCGAACACATTATGTACGCGTAGGCATTTTACTTTAAAGTTTTTATTTAAGTCAGTACATGTACGGACGCCAACATTGTCTCGTGTGTGCTCACATACATAACATTTATAAACATATAACATTTATAAACATTGTAACAATAATATTATAACAATATAATAAACATTTTGTGCATAAACAGTATTTTAAGTAACATTTACATCAAAAGGTGTTGAATACCACAACATCTTTTTGGTCCTTCGAGAGTGAAGTGTGATTGTGATTTTTTCGGTGATAGCGAATCGGTTTGTCTGGCCTCCCAGAAGCGGGTCTCACCAGGCAGATTGAGAAGGCGCATAATATATCGCTGGAAGTTCATCGTCACACGGACCGCAAACAGGAAGCGATCAGTTCACTTAACACTTAGCGAATACCTATCAACAACAACATCATGGAAGATTTACAAGCAAATCAACAACAGATGGTTTCTGGTATGGAGCAGCTGCTCAGCAACTTCAAAAAGGACGGCGCCGACCGTAGGACTGCTGCTCATATCAAAAAACGACTGGAGACTTTGGATACTTACTGGCAGGAATTTCACAACCTTCACCTCCAGGTACGTGAGTTGTGTGATGAAAACCATTCCTACATTGTACAGAATCAATACGGACAAGTTCTTGATTTTTATACAAAAACAAAAGACTACATACAAAGTTTCTTACCAACTGAAGACAAATCAAGACCCTCTACTCCGATCATAAAACCATCAAATTTCAACCCCCCGCCATCAACGTCGTCAGCAACACCGCGACAGGTGGACCGCAGTATTAACAGCAAGCTGGATGAGATGTTGCGTAAGCAAAGTAGCAATTTTAGAGCTTTTAAGCGAACGTTAGCAAACATTGACTTGGATTTGTTAACCGATAACTGGGAATTAGAAGATGCTCTGAAGACCTTGAGTGTTAGATGGAACCGTATCGACTCCCTTCATTGGGAGCTCGACAGCGAGCTGGAGGGTACTAACGTAGCATACGAACAAGAATTTTCCGTCCATGAGAGAAGCTTTAGTGACATAAAGAAGGCAATCAACAAGAAAATATGGTCAACAGCTCATCAGGAACAATTTACACCAAAGCTTGATATTCCTATCTTCAACGGGAATTATCACCAATGGGTTCCGTTCAAAGATCTATTTACGGAATGCATTCATAACAATCGCTCCCTTTCCAGTGCTCAAAAAATGCAGTTTTTAAAGAGCAAGGTCAGGGGAGAGGCGGAGCGGCTGATACAACACCTACAGATCAGCTCGGATAATTATATTATCTGTTGGGACATTTTAAACAACCGATACAATAACCCGAAACTTATATTCACTTCTCACATGAACATATTAATGAGTTTGCCAGTTCCTCATCAAGCATCAGTGACCAACATCAAGAAAATTCACGACACTACGCAGGAATTATTAATGTAAGTAGTAAGAAGTATTTCGACGCTATTTCCAACATCCAACTTATTCGAGACAACTGGAAGCTCATAATTTACTACAACATGCAACCATTTTGGGAAGGCTCCGAAGCACTTGACAAATATCAAAAACACATGGAAAACATATGTAAAACAATGAAGGGTGACGGTCATTGTGATGCGATGCTATTGCAGTTACGTCATAGTACCAGTGAACTCGAGTACTACAACCGCATGTTGCTAGGTAAACAAACCGAGCACGACAGACAGAAACGAGGGCTTATCAATGGTGTCGGGTATATCACGAATAGTCTCTTCGGAGTACTCGACGACCATTTCGCAGAAAAGTATGAGCGAGATATCACACTCGTCAGACAGAATGAACATCATTTGGCTTCCCTGTTCAAGAATCAAACGTCTATTATCGAAGCGGAATACAACATGATGAAAAGAATGGAAGAAGTTATGAGAAAACAACACAAGATTATCAACAAACAGATTAGTGCTTTAGACAGCAACATAAACAAAGTAAAAACAGAATTGGAAAAACTTTATAACATCAACCAATTTTTGGCTATGTCTGTCATAGCGAACAATTTACTGCTGAACTTGAAAAGCATACAAAACATGATGACAGACGCTATCACCGATATATATCATGGAAGGTTCGATGTTCATCTCATAAGCCCTACTCAGTTGAGAAATGAACTGAACACAATATCTGGACAAATACCTAAAGACTTGACTCTACCTATATCAAACATACAATCAGATTTTCAAAAAATATATCAGTTTCTTCAAGTGAAAACAAAGATGACTAATAAGTACTTGATTTTTGAAATCAGATTACCATTGGTCAGCCGAGATAATTACAACCTATACAGAGTTATACTGATTCCTCATAAACGGACCAACAATTTTGTGAACATTAAACCGATTGCAGATTACATTGCAATTAATTTAGAAAAGGATATCTACATCCCAATGACATCTATCGATTTACAAGAGTGTATTATGTACGATTTTTCAGCACATTTATGCCACCTCAAACACCCCATATACCAAAGAAATTCAGATGAAGATCTGTGTTTGAAGAATAATTACACAAATCAGTGCCAAATAAACATCGCCGGGTGCAGTAACATGTTTATTCAATTAAATAAAGCGAACAATTACTTATTTACAACGTGCGACAAATGCAACGTAAGAATTTTTTGCGGTGATCAAGTTACCGTGGAACGGCTGAGAGACGCCGGGGTCATTGCGCTGGAACCCGGTTGCTCAATCAAAAGTGAAGAATTATCAATCTATACGCACAAAATATTTACGAGTGAATTGAAAACCGGACCTGAAATTTATACGCCTGAAATCGCTGCTATTAACCAAATTATCAAGCTCTCTATCCCAGAAACAGGAGAGTTGGAAAAAGACGCTGACAGTTTCCAAGCCAACCTAACCACCTTGAACGAAAACATCAAACACCTAAAATCCCAAAATGTGATCGCTGAAAACATAACATTCCATGACATACATCATTACGTCGCGATTTACATCCTGGTGGGAGTGGCTGTGATAGCTGCTATATGCCTTGCCTGCAAACGACTACGACAAAGAAGAAACACGGCTATCACTTCAAGTATTAGCCTCGATAACATAACCACGGAAGGTCTAAGCTCCGCTCCTGTGGCTGCGCTGGCCGCCCCGAGAGCGCAGCGCGCCGCTGCAGTGCCCGCCCCGAGAACGCAACCCGTCGCCGCCAGCACCGCGACGCGCGAGCGTGCGTCCTCACCCGCGGTCCCGAACGCGTTCAACACTCAAGACCGAGCAACATCTCCTATATTGCGAACTCTCATTCTTAAACGCGATGAAGAATAATTTTATACCTAACTTTTCTCAAATAATTTTACTTTTTTATGTATTTTTAGTTTATCTCCCTTGTTGTGCGGGAAGATGTTCAGTTTACACCGAACACATTATGTACGCGTAGGCATTTTACTTTAAAGTTTTTATTTAAGTCAGTACATGTACGGACGCCAACATTGTCTCGTGTGTGCTCACATACATAACATTTATAAACATATAACATTTATAAACATTGTAACAATAATATTATAACAATATAATAAACATTTTGTGCATAAACAGTATTTTAAGTAACATTTACATCAAAAGGTGTTGAATACAACAACAGGACCAAAATTAATAATTAAAAAGCTGAAGGTACTCCGGGTTAACTTTGACATCGGGACGTCAATCACCTCAGTCCCCGTGACCACGGTTGCTGGAAAGCAACCGAAACGTCGGGAATATAAAATAAGTTAATTAAACGCGATAAAATCCGTAAAAATAGTTTTATTCAATAAATTAAACAATTTTTATAAGTTAAGTATTTTTAAAGTTATCGAGATTAATAACAAAACCTCAGGTACTGTTTCCTTTTGACTATATCAATTCACATAGTTATAAATGAAAATACGTGCAATATGAAATATGAGAAGAAAAAATTGCGAATATTGATATCACAAAAATTATTCTCAAACAAAATCAAATATCGCAGCTTACAAAAAAATATCGCAGTTTTCAAATAAATCAAATCTTAGTTTAGTTAATGCATTTAGAGTGTAATAGCGAGTGATAATATGTTTTTTATCAGAAATTTAAATAACCGTTACCAATACAGCCTATAAAAGTCCACTGCTGAACATAGGCCTCCCGCATAGATTACCTCATATGGCCTCATATGCCCGATTTTGCCATATTTTCAACGCTTGGCAGGCATTTTGCCGCCGCAGTTTTATATAATTTTTGAGTTTTTTTTTTTTTTTATAGTATAGGGTGACAAATGTGCACACAGTCCACTTGATGGTAAGTGGATGCTATGGCCCATAGACCTCCCCCTCAATTAACAAAACCGTTTTCAGTGCCTAGAAGATTGCAATGCAGTGGAAGATATAAATGCCAAGCTCGTGGAAACTGTCCATACGGTCGGAGCTAAGTTTTGCAAGACCCGTCGCAGAAGAACACAAAAACTCTCCGATTACACTTTTAATCTCACGGCTGTTAGGCGGGAAATGAAGCTGCAGTCTTCAGTAGATTTGACAGCATACAGGCAACTGAACAGACAGATCTCCAAATGCATGCGGCGGGACTTACGCAACTTTAATACTGCTCGTATTGAAGAAGCGATCGAGCGGAACCAGGGCTCCAAAGTCTTTGCCAGAGATCTGTCTGCCACAAAGTGCCAACTGTCGAAGCTGAAGACCGAATGTGGCAGCATCGTTTCCGAGACACCTGAGATTTTGAATGAGATTGAGAGTTTCTATGGGCGGCTGTACACGTCATCGTTGGAGCCAGACGCAAGTGTGAGTAACGATCCAAGAGCAAGTCTTATCCGACACTATTCCGATGATATTCTGGACCTCAGTCTGAGCGAGATTAGAATGGCTCTCCAGCACCTTCATAACGGCAAGGCACCAAGCGAGAATGGGATTACAGCGGAGCTTCTGAAAGTGGGTGGAAAACCGGTACTTGAAGTCCTTCAGAAGCTCTTTAATTCCGTCCTCCACGGTGGCACTACACCGGAGGCGTGGAGCAAAAGTACGGTGGTCTTGTTCTTCAAGAAAGGCGACAACGCTCTCTTGAAGAACTACAGACCGATTTCCCTTCTAAGCCACCTCTACGTGCTGTTTTCGAAAGTCATTACGAACCGTCTCCACGACGACGACTTCCAGCCTACCGAACAAGCCAGTTTCCGAAAAGGCCACATACTACCCTTCCGCAAATTGTACAGAAGTTCGAGGAGTACAATTTGCCACTATGCTTAGCGTATGTGGACTATAAGAAAGCCTTTGATTCCGTCGAAATTTGGGCGGTGCTGCAGTCCCTTCAGTGATGCCAAGTTGACGGTCGGTTCATATCGAAGTGCTGAAGTGTTTGTACAGTAGGGCTACGATGGGTATCCGAGTACAGAACTGTTCTGTGTACAGTAGTTCGTGTCGCTTGAATATCGAGATTAAAGGAAATTTCACAAGTTACTTAGAGGACAGGCGGACGCTGTCTTAATAATGCATTGTTGACCGGACCTGACTTGTTGAAGTCATTATTCAGTATTCAATATTCACTAATACGATTCAGAGAAGGAAGCGTGGCAGTAATAGCAGATATTAAAGAGATGTTCCTGCAAGTGAAAATTCGCCAGGAAGACAGGGAAAGTCTCCGATTTCTGTGGTATCACAACCGTGACGCGCCACCAGAAGAGTATAGAATGACGTCACTTATATTTGGAGCAGCGTCATCTCCGTGCACCGCTAAATAGCGCGCATCTCTTTCATTTCACATATTTATGTGAAAAATAGAAATGCGCAAGATAACGCACATCTCTATCCGAAGCAGCTTCCGCGACGGAAAGCAATTTTTATACGGATGACTATCTACAGGCATTTCTCTACATGACGACGGCCGAAAAGATAAAGACGATAGGAATGAATCGCATAAACATGCTTCTTTCCAACTAAGGGGATGGATCAGTAGCCAATCCGAACTTTTATAAATGTAAAATTAAAGATAAATATAAGAGCTCGATTCGCACGATGAGCTCACGTTAGGTTTGATTTGGAATATCAAACGAGATACGTTAAGTTTCTCCATAAATCTTCGTAACACACCTACGAAAGTGATCGAAAGTTTACGACCGCCTACGAAGAGGGACATAACGAGCGCTGTGATGTCAGTTTTCGATCCATTAGGACTCGCATCACCCACAACGGTGCGAGGATAGTCGCTGATTCAGCAAGCATGGAGATTAGGCATCTCTTGGGATGATCAAGTTCCACACGAATTGGACGTGTTATGGTGCACATGGTTAACGGAAGTTAAAAAATTAGGTCATCTTGAAGTACCTAGACCCGTTGCTGAAGACATCAGCAGGGGGGAATTACATACGTTCACCGACGCTAGTGAAAGAGCGTACGTTGCTGCGATGTATTATGTCACCACGGACGAGTGAGA